TCCACACCCACAACCTTGGTGGATATCAATTATTTGTACAGCTGTGCTTCCTAGCTAAAGGGAGGATTTAGCTTGTTCATTCTTACACTCTGGCAGTACAGTACAGTGCATGGGACACACAAGGCACTCAATAAAGGTTTGCTTAGTACATAAATGGAGGTGTAGATCACTGGGATGAAATGTATATATTTGTACACAGTTGGTGAACTGTGTTTGGAGAGAGGCAGCATACCACAAATTAAAACAAATATAAGCTCACAATCCCTTATCTTGGATTTGTTTTGAAATTCAGAATTGTTCATGTCTTAGAAAGGTAACAAGGTATATATATCATGGAATATGAAATACTTCGATGATATTTCCAGGCAGAATCCTGTAATCTGTAATAGTAATATTTCTGCAAGGAAACCTAAAAATTGTCCCATTAAATTGAATAAAGACTAAATCACATCTGTTCATGTTTCCTGCCACCGTAGCATTATTGCATTCTGAAATTACAGATAAAGGATTACATACATGTAAAACAGTTTAAATTTAGCAAGTTTTATCATCTTTCCTCAACTATTTCCAGGAATGAAATTAAGCAGAACTTCAAAGGTCATAAAGAAATTAAAGGTAAAAATTCAGAAAGTCTTAATTTACTGCTAGCCTGTGCTTCAGTTAATTATAAATAAATATATTTAATCAATCTGTGAGCAAGATATTATTGTCAGAATCAAGTGAAATTTAATTCACATCAAGTGCTCATCACAGAGCCTGCTTCTCAGTGTGCATTTATGTATCAGCTGTGACTCTCTATAGCTCAACTGAAGTTCATTGGAAGTTCACTAGCGCGTTATTCATTCAGTGAGTCTCTACCGAATTCCATGTGCCACACATGCTGCCCAGCAGACTAATGATAAAACAAGGCATTCGTATTTGCTACACTCAAGTGGCTTACTAGTTCACAAACCTCCTCAATTTGCCATATGTTGAAAGCTGTATCCATCTTTTGAGGATCACCTGGATTTACTTCTACTTCCGTCATAAATGGATCCTCTTAGCTTGAAAATCTTATTCACATTTTAAAGGTTCTTTAAAAAGTGATTCCATTTCTTCCCTCAGTTGCTCTCACCAACCCTCAACCACAGGAGATAGATAGGACTACAGTCACAAAGGGAATCTTAACTGAAAAACTCAGGACTCTGGGAAGGAATAAGCTGAGTGACTAAGTGTGATCTGAGTTAAAACACAAATTAATACCTTTCCATACTAACTCCAGCTCTGGATGCACTAGACAGAATGGCAGTCAGGGCAATCTGAGAAGGTGTGTATAAAAGGGGAGCATCCGTCAATGCAACTCTATTAAGGAAGTCATCAGCGGTTTTCCTCAAAACCTCTGGATTCTCCAACATGGGATAGCGAGTCTAGAAACAAAGTTTTCAAATGTTATCACTTCTGAGGGCTTAATGGAGTATTAAAAGCACAAAAATATTTATATAAACCAGAAAGTGCTGAACACAGGATACTTTTTCAAAGTGTTAATTCCTTTTCTATACCCCAGCAACAACAAATAATCTTTCCATGTAAGTTTTATACTCAGCATCAGACTACCAAAAGTATGGTCACTAAATTCTGTATGTTTTAGGAATCTTTTACTCAATGGCTTTCAAACTTTTTAAAATACAACCTATTAATAAGAGATAAATGCTTAGAGATAATATATCTAAGGTTCCCAGTATAGAACTTGGCACTATACTGACTTATGTTAACCCCTCTCTTTGTCCTTTACAACTGAGAAGGAAGGGGGAGGGCGGCTCTAAGAGATTCAACTGGGTATGAAAGCTGACCTAAGAAATACATATTCCCAGGTAAATGCTCCCCAGGCAATCCAGGTGATTCAGCTTTAAGACCACATTTAAGAAACAAAGCACCACATCATTTTGATTTGAAATTCCTTCTACTTAAAGTTTACTTTTGGGAAGAAGTAAATGGAAATGAATCCTGGTTTCATTACAGAATTATTTTTAGTATATGCCCAAGAAATATGGACGATCCTCTATTTCCCGACAATTCTTATCCTTTAAGGTGAACCCTAAATCCTAACCCCTCAGATATATTTCAAACATCCACATTCAAGTCCCAAAGCACTATGAAATCATTTCGATACTCTGAAACAAAACAGCCAGTCATTTGTACAGTCACACCCAGGCCTTATTATTCCCAAATGCCTGCTGTCTGACACGACAAATCTGACATCCCACTCTGACCACAGTGCTCCCTTTCTCAGTATGGACATCTGCTCAAGCACTCCACAGCCGTTCTTTGACTTCTTCCTCAGAACCTTGGCTTCCTTACCCCTATACTTGCTCCTACTCACTGGTGTCCACTGGTCCTCATTTCCCTCTTGAATTCCCTGCCCCAATATGCTGCCAACTCATTTCCAGCCCAACTTCAATAGTGGCTGAATTAACCATCCTTCTGCTTTGCAACTATACCCAGATTTCTGGGTGTGGCTAGAGAAAACAATACAACCAAGAGGTCTGATAATATTACTATAAATTCAAGTTCACTGACCTCAAGCAAGGCTCTCAATACTGCTTAGCTATGGTAATATCCCACAGGAAATGTTTTCTCCCATTTTCTATGATTACGTTAAACATTTTCTACCCATCTCAACATCTTTGATAATTGTCAGAAACTCCACTGCTCTCAGAAAATGATCTCTGCTGCTAAAAAAGACACTATTTCCCGCCACCACCAAATCCCCAGGCATAACACTTCCCCATGCTCTCCTCTTCCCCTCTGTTAAGAGCCAATTCTTCTACCTCACTTTGAATTCCATGCCAGGTCCTCCTACCAACACTCCAAAGAAAAACTCGAGCTACACATTTCCCGTGGAGCGTTCTCTACTAGCTCTCCACATCAGTTTCTTCCACAGAACAAGATGCAACCAAAACTGGCCTTTCCTCTATTTCTAGCAGTTCCTCCATCTCTTCAATCATCCCGTCTTCTTTCTCCACTTCAAAGACAACCTGTTTAATCCAAGTTGTACACACTTGTTTTCTTACCTTCTATTTATTCCCCAACCAACTCCAACCTGCCTTCTTACTCCACACTTCACCAAGATCACAAATCACCTTTCTGGCACTAAATCCAGCAAACATTATTCATCAACTTTTCCTTTGCCTGAACTCTGAGCAGGACTGGAGAGCTGCCCGTGATCATCTTCATAACATATTCTACTTTCCTTCTGCAAAAGATCCTACGTCTTTGGATACTCTTCAGTCTTCTTACTACCTCCTTATGTTTCTCTAGTTACCCTTTAAATGGTCCTTATGGACAATCTACTTTAAATCTTCCTGGGACAATGACCCCCAAGCCTGTACCTCCAGTCTAGCCATCTTCTCTGACCTCCAGACACAAATGGTTTACCGACCTAAATGCCTTGTGCACAATGGAGACTCATCATGACCCAAAGCAAATTCACCAGACCCCCTCCTCTCCATCATCAACAAATCTCTCCTGTGCCAGTGTTTCCTGTATCAGTAAGTCTAAGTGTATCACCATCTACTTATATGATCAGGCTAGAAATCTAGGGCTTCTTCCTCTGTCTTCACTTTCTATAGGTAATCATTCCTCAAGCGCTACTGATTCTGCCTACTATCTCTGAAGACCAAGCAGCTCTCTCTGCATCTACTGCCACTACATGAGACAAACCAACCACCATCTTTTTACCTAAACTCCTCCAACAGCATCCTAATTGGTATCCCTTCATCCATTCTAATCCATTCTCCACATTATGCCTGACACATAGATGTGCAATAAACATCAGATGCAGACTGAGGCATGAGCCTGTCAACATGTTTTTTAAAACTGCAAACCTAATCATGCCACTCTTCAGAATTAAACCTTTCACTGGCTTCCCACTGCTCCACTCAAAATCCTTAATGTCACTTCCACAGTCTGGACTCTGCCTTCTACTCAGGCAGCACTCCATGGTAGCCTTCCCCTGTATCTCTAAGTTCTGTCAGGTTCTTAGTATGCCATGGTTTCTTAAACCTGGGCCTTTAACCAGAGAAGTCTCTCTGAATGGGATATTCATCTCCCACCTAATTCCTACCCTTGCTCTGAATTTCACTTTAACTTACACTTTCTCAGACCTGTCTTCCTCTCTCTCAATCTGCTATCTCCTTTTTAAGTACCCACTTCTTCCCTTTCTGCTAACACTTAGCACACTGAATACATGACTCTCTCCTATTAGACTGTAAGCCCGATAGAGTTGAGGCTGTTCCTGTCTTCTTTTTGACTACAGCCTCAAGCATGATGTTTAGCATAGAGAAGGTACCCGAATTTCACCACTCAAGATGAATGAACCATTTTCTGACTTCTGTTTCACTTTACTCACACTATCTAAGCCTTCTTTCAGGGCCAAAACAATTCAAGTTGCTTCTGTCAATGTTCTGACAAAACATTTTATTTACTTTTGGTTTTGATGCCTATATATTGATTTCAGTTCACAAAGCCTTAAAAATAGAAGCTGCTTAGCAATCTTCTAGTTTAAACTTAAGAATTTTGTATGGTTTTTTAAGTGAGATCCATGACATTATACTTCAAAGTCAGAATTATCTCAAGTCTTTAAAAGCATTATTCTAAACGCACAATGGCCCTCATCATGGTCCCTGCACCAGTATTTGCAGGTCTACTAAATCAGAAGCTCAGGAGCTAGAGCCCGACAAATGAAGTTAACAAGCCCTCCAGGTGATTCCAACACACACTGAGATCTGAGAACTACTGCCCTAGAGGTCCTGGCCAAACTCACATTTCAGCAAGCTCCTGTTGTAACAACTAGGAACATCATAAGTCATAGTACATTTGGCTTATTTTGGTTAAAGAACAATAGCAAGGGAGTACACTCTACCAGTTCACTTTATATCAACAAGATTACCTTTAAATCAATGAGAAAGCCTTCAAAGGGTCTATAAGGATTATGGACAATAAGGTGGAAATTAAGTTGCTGTATAAGAAGTAGTTCATATTCCAAAATCTGCTCGAGTGCCTTCTCTTGTCCAAGAGGACTCTCCCGTAGATTTCCAACAAACTGTGGACTAGAAACATTGAATTCATCTACTTTGCAGGCCAAAAATGCACAAGTGAGCCTAGAGGGAAAAAAAGGCAGAGGGAGATGTATTTACTTTGAGAAACAACTACATATTTCTCGAAGTATATTCTAAAATTGCCTAAAATTCACAAATTACTATGCTAGACATCTCAGGAAATCGGTTAAAAAAAGTTTCATACACTTTTTATCTGTAAGGAAACTAAAATTAGATTGAACTGTATAATATTCCCACAGTATTCAACTATTATTGACTAAATGGCAGTTTCATATAGTACAGCCTAAATATTTGGAAACACAAAATTACTGAGGAGTAAGGGTACCCTGCATCATGAAATGTAGATGGAAGAGAAAAAAATGTAACAGTACACACATATGTATCATATGAGCCTGGAAGAAAGGTATATTAAAGAAACACTGTGGAAAGCCATTAAGTGGAAGTCTCCAAGGGCAGTTAAATAGGGGATTATTACCTCAGGAACAAACCTGTGAAACTTCATGGCTACCACATAAATTTCAGAGTGAGAAACTGGTACTAAAATTACCACAAAAATCGAGATTCAAAGCAACAAGGGCCTGACCTAGGCTGGTAGAAACAGGAATGAAAAACAGAAAATATCCGGGGACAAAGTGATTGACAGCAAGCTCTTTAATGAGTCTCATACTAATTTCATCTTTATCTTTAAAGATAAGCATAGGTGTGCTTAGCAGAGAGCAGAAACACAACAGACCTCTATTCAAGTGAAATGAATATGGACTCTAGGACTTGTAAACTACCTAGATGTAGAGGGAGAGGAGTTACCATCAATGATTCTCGGTCAGAGCAACTGGGAGAAGAAAGGTGCGACTAATGGAAAGGAATATTAGGGGAGCTAGTTTGAGAAAAACAGAATCTGAATTTGGACAAGTTCAAATTCAGATGCCATCAGTATTACACTGAAGGAAGTATTATACAGGTATATTAAGGAGCATAAGGAGGGATCTTAAGTTCATAATAGATAAATTTAAATTATTCCATTAGGAAGTCATTTTTTCATACACACATGCTCAAATAGTATAAAGGTCTTCTTAAATGAAAATCAATAAATTAGACTTATACTCACATTATTATCCGGGGGTGATATTCCATTATGGAGTTATTAAGGTAAAAACGCTTGAAATACATACAAGCCGTACCCTAAGGTTAAAAACATATATGTTTTCAGAACCTATTCGCACATACAAGTTAAATTTTGTATTTAAAAAAAAATTTAGTTTCTTTGAGAAAGTCACCAGCACAAAACAGCATAACTTGTTAATTCTTCTTAAATCAAAATAATCTGATGAATTACTATAGAAACACCACAGCCAAAAGACCCTTTGTTGTCCTTCCTCACTCACTCTGGGTTATCCTTCCTGTGGTTATTGGCTTACTTAAAAAAAAAAAAGTGTTTATTTTATGCAAGTATGGATATTCGTCTAATACATACATAAATGACCATAGCTTACTCAATCTTGTAAAATACTGACAGAATAACACGATCAGGGCAATAAGCCTTCTCTCTAAATTCACTCAGGATCTGTGATATAACTGTGGAAACTGCTGCCAAACTAAACAGCAGAAGCAGAATCCATGATTTATGACTGTATTCCAGGTGCCAGACTCTGCCAAATACCAAACTATCTTGTTTAAATTCTTCTAACAGCTTGGTGAAGTACTGCTATGTCTACAGAGAAGGAAACTGAGTATCAGTGAGGTTAACTGACTTGAGCAAGGTCACACATCTAATAAGAGACAGGGCTGGATTCAACCAAGACTGGCCTCTGCTTTTAACCACTCTGTCATTAGGCTAGTACCAATGAAATAAACAGGATGGAAAAAGAAAACTTCTCTTTAAAAATTTTAAAAGTTTAGTTTTTGCCATTTTATATAAAAAAAAACCCCAAAACTATCATGCTGTATAAAGACAAATTCCACAAAGAAGCTCACTCAAGAATTCAGTCTCTTCATCTGAAAAGATCACTTAATCCTACTACTTCACATTATAGTTCTCTTATCAGAAAAGTCTAGGACCAAATCTGGAGACAGAAACTAATCCAAATGCACTTAAAATTCTTCATGAATGGCATCTCTTAGATGCAGGTCCAGTTAAAAAAAAAAGAAAGAAAGAAAAAAGAAAACATTATCAATACTTTTGGACTTGATATTTTCAATATACTTCAGTTTTTGCAACTATAAAAATGAAGATTACTTCCTAGGTCATTCTCTATCAGGCCATAAATTATTCACTCTGTGTAACTTTAAAACGTATGATCAACTTTCACTGAAGACAAGACTTTCATATTTGATCTTCACAACAAACCTGTGAGACAATGAAAATTATTTTATACTCCTTCCTTTTTAAAAATCTTTCTGCTTTTTAATCTCAGCTTATCTTCTATAAACAAGAATACACATAATAGGAACAATTACAAGGACAGCATGTACAAATTCATATAGCCAAAAAGTTCTAACTACTTCTCTCCTCACCATTACCTCTCCACCACACATACACATACACACAAATAGGGTTCTCAGAACCATACATATGAAACAACCACAAGTTTTTACCCAAAAATAAATTTCCAGCTTCTACTACTCAAAGTTTCTAAGTTTCTTATACCATGAGTTTCAGCTGAGGCATATGATTACAAATGACAAATGAATGCATTATTTCAACTGTGTGTGACAGAGTTGAAAAAGCACAGGTCTATGTTCTGGTCCCAGTTCCACTAATCATTAATAATTGAGAACCCAAGGAAAGTCATTTGATTTTTGTCTTTCTCTATAAAATGAGGATGTCATGCCCTGCCTAAAAGACTTAAAAATTCCTTTGATATGAAATGATTCTCGAAACACTTTGTAAGATTCAATGTAGGAATTCATAATTTAAGGCATTTATATATGTGATAAGAACTTACATACATAAAATTAAATATTTATATAACTAAGGTACATTTTTGAGTAAAGTGAACAGTAAACTAAGTTACAAATTTAGAAGAGGTCAGATTTCAGAAGTTAGCTAAAGGACATTATACTCCATCACTATGACCACTTACCACAACAGACCTTGGCATTGCTGGTCTAAACACTGAACAGAATTCCAACAATCTTTTCTCATAGTATTTGCAGAGCGTCATTTCTTCATTGGGCTCAAGAAAGACTGGGTCATTTGGAAGAACCTTTGGATCAAAAGTTACAACAAAAGTTCAATAAATTAAGATAATCTTGAAATATTTCTCCCTGTCCAGATTAAAATCTAGTTTTTATCTCCAACCAAAGAGAAATATACCATATCTCATTTTCTCTTTATAGAATTGCAAATTATTACACAAAACTGCTTTTAAGAAACTAATAAACTAAAACTATACCATAATTGCATAATTTCTCAGAATGTCAGCAGGATATTTGCTTCACTACGGTATAAGCAATCATGACAGAGAAAGTGTGCATCTATGTTCACAGGCTTGATGTCAAATCAAAAAGAAGATACACGTTGTCAAGGGTTGGAAAGCTATCAATATCCCTTTCTCAGACAGTTATTAAGTTACACAGGTTGAAATAAATATTAACAAGTGTCTCAAGGATAATTCAGACCCTTAACACAATACCTCTTACCCACCTTTGTAAGATCCCTACAGGATACACTAGATGGTCAATAAATACTTCAGTTTTACAATGAATATCTACTTGGTGCTGTTATTGGTTTAATTATGATTGCCAAAAAAGGTCTGTTGAGTCCTAACTCCCAGTAGCTCAGAATGTGAGGAAATAAGTTTCCTGCAGATGTAATCAGTTGAGGCCATAATGAAGTAGAATGGGTACCTAACTCAGTAAGACTGGTATCTTTGTAAGAACATGGGAAGATAGAGACACAAGGAGAACACTATATAAAGATGAAGACAAAATTGGAGTCAGCTGCCACAAGCAAAGAACACTTGAGGTTACCAGAAGCTGGAAGAGAAAGGATCCTCCCTAGAAGCTGCAGAAAGCACAGCTGGGCCAACACCTTGAGCTCAAACTTCTAGCCTCCAGAACTGTAAAACAATAAATTTCTGTTGTTTTAAGCCACCCAGTTTGTGGTAATTTTTTAACAGCAGTCCAAAAATTACCACTAACGCAGGTGCTAGTTTCAGAGACAGCACGGCTGTCTAGAAGGAATGCTAGAACTAGATTCAATGGGTTCAAATCCTGGCTCTCCCACTTACTAACAATGTAGCCTTAAGTTCTTCAACCTCTCTGTACCTCAGTTTCCTCAGATGTAAAGTTAAGGATAATGACAGCATCTACCTCATGGGGTAGCTGTGAGGATAAAATCCGTTAACACTTGCTAAATGCTCACAACTTAGCATTTTTTTGTGTGCAGCACAAAAATAAAGTGATATGACATAGAGGTGAGTTAAAGGTAAAGAGACATCAGTACCAACAGGTCTCACATGGAATACCTGCTAGAGGGAAGCTTGTGCTGGAATGGATGATGGAGTTTTTGTGGTGCTTGCGAGAGATTAAACCGAACGGGGGGAGGGGGAGTTATAACAGGACAGACGTGGCTACCAGGCCAAAACTCAAACCATGAGTGGTCAACATGTGCTAACGGTCTCTCAACCCCTTGCCTCCAACCTGCCCCATCCAGTTAATCCATTCCTTCCCAAAAGGCTCCTTCTAGAATAGAATCTGGTAAGATTACTTTCTCATTTAAAATCTTTCAAAGATTCCCCATCCCTCCACCACAAAGTTCAAACTCCTTACTTCCGCTTAGAAGTTCCCTGTTTATTCCAGCCTTTCACCCACAGGTACTGAGCTTCCGCCACAATCATGAGCATTCCACTGACCAGCCCTGCAACTTCTGACCTCCTACGTTGCACCTGTGGCTCTGTCCGCCTGGAAAGTCCTTCCCCATCTTCTCCACAACAGCCACTAAGAAAAGCCTCCCCTCCACTACATTAGCATCCTACAAAGTGTCCTCTTCGCTATGTCACTGGTTATTCGTCTGTCTGACACTCCACCACGGGGGTGGATGGCCTTTCCATCTCTGTATCCACAGCACCTGGCAAGGTGCTCGTTGTTATTAAATATAGCACGCTCACTGCCGAGAAGGCAGAAGCCCGTGGAAGGGAGGTCCTGGGGGAGGGGAACCGACAAGAGTTTACAGAGCCAGAGGCGTGGAGGCGGGGTGAGGGGGTGAGCCGGCGGTGGGGACGAGAAGGGGGTGAGGCGGCGGCAGCGGGGTGAGGAAGGGGTGAGGCGGCGGTGGGGGGTGAGGCAGAGGGGTTAAGCCGGGAGGGGGGGCGGGAGCACGAGGTGGGGCACAGGGAGCGGGGCGCGGCAGCCCGAGTCCTCACCTTCCCGTTCGCCACTGCTTTGCATCTGAATTTGCGGTTGGCGTCTGCCCGCAGTCGCGCCAGCTGCTCCTCGCTGCCGAAAGTCCAGTGCCGCTTCTGGCTACTGTTGTGATACATCCTGAAGTCGTAGGCCGGGCCCAGAAAGTCTGGAAAAGACCGCGAGACGCACACCACCACGGTGTGAAGCACCTAAACCACCACCACAACCTCGCGGAAGTAGGAGTCTGGCCGGCCGGCCGGCGCCGGCGCACTGACGTCAAACTCACGTGGTAATCCCGTCCACACTCACGTTTCTGGCGCGGACCAGGAGGGAACGCCTCCGGGGCCGTGTGGCCGCCCCGCCCGCTACGCGAGTGGGCGTGGCCTGCAGACACGCTCCTCCTCTCCGTGAGCCACCGCCCTTAACCACGCCCCTTCCTGGAAGGATTTAAAGGAGAAGTGGCAGGCAGGAGTGTCCAAAAGAGAAGTAACTTGAGGCCGTGTGGAGACTAACGTAAACAATTCACATCGGATTATCAGAAGTGAGGAAAGGATTTGGGAGGATGTCAGCCTTTATATAGGGTGTCCAGAGGAGGCCTCATTGAGAAGGTGACGTTTGAGCAAAGATTTGAAAGAGTTGAGAGAGTAGGGGTACTTCTCATGTGTGGGTCATCTTGGGGCAGCTGGAACAGACAGGGTCCCAGCAGAAGAAATCCTGGCTCTTTTAAGAGTGAGCCTGGGGCACTACCAAAATTCTCGGCCTCAGGGAGACTGGAACATGGGTGGAAAACTAGAGGCAGTGCATGTGTATTTTTCTTTACTGTTCTGACACTAATATGTCCCTATCTGTTCTTTTTATGGGCCTTTCCCCCTCTGGTTCTGTTGATAACTAGTCAATCCTTTCCCCCAATTTCTATCCCTAAAGCCACTATGTATGATAGTTTTAGATTTTCTTGAGATTCCCATCTTTATTATTGCCCCCAAGGGAGCCCTTCAATAAGCTATTATTAACACTTAAGACATGAATGTTTTCCTACTACTAGTGGTTTCAAAATTGTATTTGAGATACAAAATTTACATTAATTACAAGAGCCTTTACTGGTTTTGATATTTGTCCTATTTAACCGTCTTATTCTCCTGTGCATCATACATTGGGTTAGAAAGATAAATTTACCTATAGCAAATTTTTTTAAAAAAACAAAGAAAAAACGGAGTTAAGATGATGTCATACAGAGAGCTGGAAAGGCCACACAGGTAAAAGAAGGTGGCAGGGTATCACTAACTCTGCTTCCAGTGAAAATATGTTTAAAGGCTTAAGAAAGAGAGCTTTTTCTTCTTTTTTATTTGGTTGGGTGCTGTTGAGGGTAGACTTTGCCACGTATTTGAATTCCTCCTCAAACTTAAACCATTTGTAGTTTTTAACTTTGGAGATCCAGACACTCCTTGAACATATGTTGGTAATTTGGACTAGTAAATTGGGTAAGAAAAAGAGAAAAAAGGAGAAAATATGATGTTAAGGAAGGACATGGCAAGTTACAAGTCCAATGTATTGGGAGCATCCTGAAAGAGTCTATAATGGAAAGAATAATTTCAAAGGAAAAACAGAAAGGCAGGAAAAGTGCTTTAGATAAATGAATGTATGTATAAAATCTTAGAACTATGACGGTGATGTCTAACATGTCAATTATTTTTATTTTGTTTTTCTGAAAAGCATTTGACAATTCCTTTAGTTTCATGCAAAGGGAAATAAAAATGGGCATTTGAGAGAGATGGCAGAATACGATTTCCACAGGGATAAGAATAAAATTGTTGTGTCATAGTTCATTAGGAAGACAAATATGAAAACCTGGTGTTGCTGGTGTAACCATTTTTTTTAAGGGCTTAAACAAATCCCAATCTATGAAAATTAACACTGACCATATTTTGTGGCTGTAGAAGGAATTGTATCTGAATTAATGATATACAAAATAAAGCTGATGCCCTGACATTAAGGCTCATATATGATTTCTTCTTCTTCAGGTAAGTGAGTTGGATGTTGCCTTTTCAGTCTGCCTAAGTGACATTCCCTGTTCAGCCTGTTGAGCACAAGTTTATTTCTGTGCTATTTCTACAGTGGAAGGCAGACTGTAGACTTGGGATGTGGTGCCTTTACCTATTTCCATTTCTAGTTCCAACTAAAAAGTAGCATGTATTTCTCTCTACTCTTTTTACTTACTTTATGTTATTTACGGCAAAGTTCAAACATAAAGAATAAAGAGAAATATGTTTTAACAAGTATCAGTACATGGCCAGTTCCCCTCCACTCCTCCCCATCCCTGTTACTTTTTTTCCTTCCAGCTTTGAGATATAATTGACATACTGCACTGTATAAGTTTAAGATGTACAGCATAATTTGACTTACATACATCATGAAATGATTATCATGTCATCTCATGTCGATATAAAATTAAAGATATAGAAAACGATTTTTTTTCTTGTGATGAGAACTCAGGACTTAACAATTTACATATATAACATACAGCAGTGTTTAAATTATATTTATCATGTTTGTTTACATTACATCCCTAGTACTTAGTTATTTTATAATTGGAAGTTTGTACTTTTTGACTGCTTTCATCTTTTATCACCATTACCTTTAAGTCACAATTTCCCTGCTACTAGATGGAGATATTTCAAACAAACAAACTAAACAAAACAAAAATGCAAACAGACAGAATCTAAACTCCCTAGTAGAGTAATGGAAAAATTCATAACTTGAAAACAAAGATGTAGCATTTCATTAGGCACTACCCAGAGTGAATATTAATAGGAAAGATTAAAGTGACTTTTTAAAGTAAGCACAGTCCGTTTGGTTGTGCTGCAGTTATTAAATTGTATTACAGTGTGTATTTATAGACAAACTCTAAATATTTTTGACTACAGCATTACCTTGACACTGAACGTTGCCTCAGAGATCAGGTGATACAGAGCAGGGGTCATCTATTGGGCACTTAGGAAAGGCTCTATACTTACCCACATGCTATGCCAAAGGTTCCCATGAGAATCTTAGGAATTCCTCTATTTTGCCTTAGGACTATCTTCTCTCTTTTTCAGGTTCCGCTCCAGTGATCCTAATGTCTGGGGGAAAATAAAGAAGATCAGACTGCTGATCTTAGGAATAAAGGAGGAAAAGGGGAATTAGAAGGGTTAGAGAGGTGACTAACAAGTATATGTCGGACTAGGAATAACTTTGCAGCCTAATAAAACATTTTATTAAGTACTCTGAGTAACTTATAGTTCTTGTTTCCCAAACACATCAGCACGTTGGTCTCCCCACACTATCTGATTTCAAGGTCACAAAATAAAAAAGTGATGGTAGCGGGGGTGGGAATAAACCACATCTATACTCACAAAAACATACAATGTTTTTCTTACTTTAAGATCTGACATGAAACTGTACCCCTTCAGCTACAGACACGTTTCTCACATTTGAAATGTAGTTTTGCAGTGATATTCCAAAACAGTTAAGCCCCTTGCAGTTCTATTTGCTACATACAATTAGCATTGGCTCTAATAGCCTCTCCTAGTTTTTTTTTTTTACCCAGTTGTCCAGTTACAACTAAATGAAAAGAACTTGCCTGCAGCAAATACCTAGCTTCTCCAAAGCAGAGTACTACTTAAGGAAAAGAAAGAAAAAGAACAAGCATTTTTAAACTATCCTTGATCTAAATGTAACCCCCAAACTGAAACATTTTTTTCTTTTATATTTTAGGACTATTTAAAATGAAGGTGTAAAGAGGCTTGACAACACTTGAGGAGCAAATTCTATAAATCTATGTCCAATTCAATGTGTCTTACTAAATCACCACTATACTAAAGGCCTGACACTGCTTGTTAGGTGGTGGGGACGATGGCGATGAGGGCATAAAAATGGCTATTTCACAGTCCCTACCTCAGGGTCCTTAGAGAATAGTAGAGCGATTATGATGTGTAAAAATGCAGTCCCTTCTCAATGACGGTAACGTTGGGTAGGGCCCAGTAGGGAGCTGGGTAATCAGATTTCTTATCCCTGAGTGCTGATACCTGGTTTTAATGTAGACAAGACCCTTTAGGTGGTTTGAAACCAATGGAAAATCCAGAGCCTAGTTCATTCAGAACCAACTAGCCATGGTTCATTCTGAAGGCTTAGTGTCTCTTCTGCTAGTCAGAGGTGGATGGTCAACATGAAAGTAATTTTTGTGTTTTTTTTTTTAAGTCACCATTTAACCCCCTCCCCTAAAACAAACAGAGTTGGCCTTAGTTCTGTTACAACCATGACTGGGAGTGTTACCCCCTTATCCTGTTTCTTTGCCAATTAAATCAAGAGTGAATACAACTATTATATAAAGTACTATACGATCATTTCCAGCAGTTTTATAGCAACTTAACAAGGTGGAGAGATTTCATTTGTGATTCAGTAGAAGCAGTCTTTCAGAGCTCAGGATCTGAAATCAGAATCCCAGCCTTACTACTTGCTACTGAGTATTCCTGGGAGAGTTACTTCAGTCTATTTTCCTGAGTTTCACCCTTTGAATAGTGAATAGTTGTAGCTACTTCGTAAGGTGGTTGTGAGGACTAAATTAGTGAATGCACATGAAGATAATAGCAGAGTGGCTGGCTTCTACATATTGTTCAATAAATGTTAGTTATTACTTAATTGACACATGGACTAGGCTAATTGGGGGATACAATACGCGGATTTGAATTCATTATTGATACTAAGGGAGGGGGCACTGTAGGTAGATGGGATCTGCTTGGGCAAAGTAGAACACAAGTACAAGGAGTATTCATGGACCAAAAAAGAGCACAGCTTGGCCAGCTGGAGAATAAGTCGAAATAACTGAGATATGAATTAGTAAGAAGATTAGCAGAGGGTCTTGAATGTCAAGCTGAGTAATTTGTGCGTAATAGTGAAAAAATTTGAGTGGGAGAGTAAAATGATCATAGTTGCATTACTTTAATCTGTAAATTATTTGTGATTGTTTTTTCATAATGAGGACTTTGTAAAGTACACGTTAAAATGTATGAAAGCAGAACAAATGGATCAATTCTAATAGTGAGGCTCCAGTGTCTACTCTTGACAGCTACATCAGATTCAAGATTACGAAGGTGAATTCCTCACCATGTTCCAGATGGAGAGACAGTATATCCTGTATATCATATGTATCATATAACATATATAAGATATAATA